AGCTTATGCTTATGTGCTTTTTGGGGCCCTAATTAAGACCCACAAACAAGTAGTCAGCGTGCAGACTGCACGGGTGTTGCAGGGTTTTGTGCGCCGCGAGATCTTTCACAAGACCGTCAGCCGAGCCCGGAGGCCTGGGGCGTCTTGCTCTGGTTCCATGGCCATGGGACCATGCAATGGTCTTACCACGACCACCCGATCGGTTTACGTTTTCGGGGTCCGGCAGAGGGTCCCTTCATTTTCTCGGACTGAGCGGCAATTCGCCCAGGAGCTTGGGAGATGCAGTCTTGTTCCCCCGTCCTACCCGCTTCCTCCCCACCTGTCCTAAGGCGGCTCTCGCGCTACTAGCGGTTGCATCATCGTCTTGAAGGCTCACAAATACTACAATATAATATAACAAAAAAATTATAAAACACCTCACAAGACAAGTAGTCAGCCACGGGCCGGTCCAGGGCGCGCCGGGAAGCTGAAGCCACTGCTGCGCATTGAAACGCCCACACCGTGGAGAGCAGGGTGCAGGGTTCGCCGTCGCACTCCGTGGCCGCAGCTCCTGGAAGCTACCATCTGACAAAGCTTTTGCTGCGGAGATCATGGGATCTTCGAGAGTTCGGGCCTGGCCATTGAGCTTCTGCAGACCCTCCTTGAGATGGTCCAGCTGCTTCTCTGTCTTCTCCATCCGATCCTGTGATCCATGTGGGATGTTTTGCAGGCGTGCATTTGCCAACTTGGCATCCAAGAGGCGATTGCTTCTTGCTGCTTCTGCTGAATGTTGTTCAGGACTTGTGCCACGGAGAAGTCGATGGACACCTTGGTAGGCAATCGTGGACACTTCAAGTGCCATGCACTGCGTGCTCTGGAACACCTTCTGGTCCTTGATTGCTGTCAGGATCGTTGAAAGATCCCCGTCCTGACGGGAGAGACAGCGTGATGTCAGAAACAGACTGCGACTCAAGAACAGGAGGAGGACGAGGACGTAAAGTGGGTTGCCAGTGACACAATAACAAGGGCCATGGCAACCGGGTACAACTCGCACAATCAGCTTACGGTCAATGACTATTGACTGGGTACTTCCACCCAATTCCAGGGCCTTGCCCGGTTGAGGTCTTCTCGATGGTGATCGGGACACTTCCAGCTGAGCCTTGGCAAAGTCCAGGCGGCACGATGTCAAACCGGTGTCAGCACGTAAGCCGTTGTGGCGGTGGTGGCGGCGGAAGCAGTTGGCAGCCATGGCTGCAGGCGTCGTCGTCGTCGTCGTCGTCGTCGTCGTCGTAGTAGTAGTAGTAGTAGCAGTAGCTACACAGCAGCAGCAGCAGCAGCAGCAGCAGCAGCAGCAGCAGCAGCAGCAGTGGTAGTAGTAATTAGTAGGCGTCGTTGCCGTCGTCCTAGTAGTGGTAGTGGTAGTCGTAGTAGTCGTCGTCGTCGTCGTAGTAGTACTATTACTAGTTTTAGCAGTTTTAGCAATGATAGTGGTAGTGGTAGTGTAGAGGAGGTGTAGCGGTGACAGTAGCAGCTCAGTAGCGCCAACAACCAAAACACAACGATTACGCAAAAGCAAAACACAACCGAGAAACGGTAGACCGGTAGACCTGACCATGGGAATGAAGACTAAGATGCCAATGTTACTACAGGGCTCCGATGGTTCGGTGTTGAGGGATGTTGAGGGTTAAAGGATGGGGCGCCCCCAATCCGTGAGGCCCACGTGCCTGCGAGCGGATGAGACTCCTCACGTCTTCCAGCTGGAAAAGGATATCCTGCTTGCTGTCGCTGACAAGGGAGCGGATTGCTGGAAGGTCGAGATCTGGCTGCTTGTCTTGGATTGCGGTCAGGACAGCAGAAAACTCGTACGAGAGATCCACCTGTGCAGGAACTGCCCTGATTGCATCCAAGACCTCAGATAGATCCATCTGAGGCCCGGCTGCTTGGCAGGCAGATCTAATGGCCGCCAAGACTTCCGAGAAGTCCATGTCTTGCCCGGTCCCGGTCGGTCTGTCTCTCACGGCCGCAGCCGATCCAGGCTCCAGTCCTTGCAGTCCTTGCAGCTGTTGCTGCAGGGACTGCAGCTTGCCAGTCACGTGACCACGCTGCTCAGCCAGTGCCGCCTTCATGTCTGCGGTCTGCTCCCCGATTGCCAATAACACAGCCGAGAAGTCCAGTCTCTGAAAGATGTTTTGCAGAAACTGCTGCATTGCAGCAGTCTGATGGCTCAGCTTGTCACTCAGCATATCAGACATCACCTCGTGAGACTCCCAAGACCTTATCTCGCTGCTTGATGCAAGTGGCAGAAGCAGTAGCAACTGCAAGCCAAGCAGGAGCAAACAAGAAGCGACTCTCGCACATCGGCTAGGCAAGCGGCACTGCCGGGGGCTGAACATGGTCGTTTGTGTCACTGCTGCCAGGTGCATGCACGTTTGCTGCAATTTCCGCACGCCAGGAGCGAAGCGAATAGCTGAGCCCCTGCAGGGAATTCGCGAAGCCGAAACAGTGATCTGCTGGACTTTCACGACATGTAAATGCCTGGGTAAGCTCTTGTGTCTCGCGAATGCCGTTTAGAACTGGCGTCAAATCCGTACCTGACAGCTGGAGGCAGACAATTCGCAAAGCCTTTCACAGCGGTGTCAGCTCCTCCAAAGAAAAACCTTGCATTCTTACATGACTAAAGCGCTCAATGAAGCCGTTTGCCTTCATCCTGAAACCAAACCGCTACTGTATTGACCGTATCGTCAACTCTGACATGCTGCACCATCCTGCTTATGGTAATTATGGTGACCTGTTGACTGCTAACCCCTCTGAGTCTTGTATCTGTCGGAGGTACGACCTGCTTGGCAAAGTAGGGCTGGCACTAGTTGGCAGAACATGGCCGACTTGGTTTTGGGAAATCTTACTACAAGTAGCCTGGCAAGTTGTTCACCCAATTTGCAGGCTGGCAACTGGCAGGCTGTGAGCGGATCGCACTTAGCACTTGCGCGACAGAGCTTTCGAGCTTTGATTCCTTGCCCTGCTCCTTGGACCAACTGTTGGCATCGGTGCGCGGGCAGGCACTGCAAGTAATTGAGGCGGGGCTCTTGGATCGCTTGGAGCACCTCCGAGTGATCCACTTGGACTTTGACATCCTAGCAGTGCAAATTCACGCCGCCAGTCAAAACTCATGCGTGCCACAATGTGTTGCTGCCAGAGCAAGGATTTAGAAGTGTCCTTGAACTGCGCAAGGAAGTTGGTCTGAAAATCATGGAGCTGTGGCAATAAGTCGGCGTGCACTTTCTGCACATCCATGCGTAGATGCGCCGAAACATCCCCGGATAGCTCAGCTTTCAGACGTTGTATCTGCTCTTCGAGAAGAGTCGCTGCAGAGCTGCGGTCCTTCTCCTGAGCATCCCACATGGCCTGACAGTAGACCAGGCAGCCCTGAAATCAAAGGTGAGCCGGAAGATACCCCCCGGGCCCTGGCCTGAAACTTCGAGAGGAAGTCATGTCTCAACTTGTGCATCTGCTCCTTCACGACCGTATGCACCGCGCGGTCGCTGTCCTTCTGCTCCTGGAGCGCCTCGGCAGAGCACACACCCGAGTCGGACAACAAGACGGAAAGATGATGCAAGATGGCCTCCATGGTGTCAGACACCCTCCTTTCGAGGTCTATCGTGAGCATCCGGGAGCTCTGCGACTCCATCTGCTGGATCTGCATCGCCTGCGCTGGCAAGCAGACCTGCTTTCGTTCGGTGCTCTAGATTCTAGATCCTTTATACTGAAACACTGAAGGTAGCTGCATTGCCGACGAATGTCCTCGATGGACCGTAGGAGGTTCGAGTACTGCTCTTCCAGGTCCTCTTTGGTGACATAGCGCTTCAGTTCATCCAGCACCTGCGCCGAAAGCGACGGCAGATTGAATGCAGGGCATTCTCCAGGAATTCTCAGGCCTGGGAGACATCGGTGCGCAGCGAAAGCATGTCTGCGGCTTCTCCACTTGCGGAGACGGCTTTGAGCACCTTGCTGCCACCCTCAAGATAAAACATCCAGTATCAGCCAACACTGTTTCACAATGGTTAATTAGCGCTGTTCTGGAGAGGAAGGAGCGGAGGCCGGATGCCAGGCCGCCAGGCCGGGCAGGAGCCTCTGCCCTTCAAGTAGTAGGCTTCCTTCTTCCTTGCTGCCGAGAGACGCTGTCTACTCTCTCCCGGATCACCATCTTCAAGGCCTCTGCGTGCCTGTGGGCACAGAGATGTGAGCAGGGCCTTGCTTTGTCGGCTTGGATGGGACTCGCCTATGCCAGCTGGTGACTGTTTCCTTCAGCTCCTCGTGCATCTGCTCCTGACCGACGGCCTCGCACATCATTAGCAGCATTAGCAACTCATGTGAGAAAACTTGCTGCCGAAATCATGTTCAGAATGTCGAAAGCAGCAGCCCGCCTGGTCTTCAAGCGCATGAAGGATAGCAGCATCGTCGAAAGCGAACTGTTTCTCCTGCTGCTACCAGTCGCTTCATGCCACTTCCAAACCACTTATTGCATCTTTCATCGGCCACCCGGGCTCCTGAATTGCTTGAATGATGAGCGAGAAGTCAGGCTGCGGCATCTCCTGTGGGAAAGGACCGAGCAAACGTATTCCGCTTTACCTGTGGGTGGATTCGACGATCGAGCGCTCCATTGGGCTGCTTTTCTTTCTGAATATCAACAGCCCATCGAAACCAGTCTGAGGCACTGCTGACGTTGGATGAGATATGTTGATGGCCTACGTACTATTCCCTGTGCCACGGCCTGCAGACCCTTGACCGCCGCCGCAACGTTGTCGAATTTAGCGGCGAGCTGTTGCTCGTCTTGCTGCAGGGACCCGAGAAAGTCGCGCACTTGGTCCAAGCTGAGCTTGATGTCGGTTTCCAGCCGTTCCTGGGCGAGACACTCCGTCCTGACGGTGTCATCCCATGATTACTGACCGGCAGCGCCTGCATGTCCTGGAGGCACTGGTCCTGTGGCGCCAGGGAAACATTGACGACAGCGTGGCCCAGCGACTATGTGCATGTATCAGGCACCAGCATGTGCTCAGCATGCAAAGGAGCATCTGTGCCCGGTCCAGATGGACTTTTTGCGCTGCTTGGCCATCGAGGATCTCAGCAAGGTTGATCTTGATTTCCACCGACCGCACAGCCTCCATCACTTGGGACGTGAGAGCCTCCAGTGGAGAGATACGAAAGCGCATTGAATGAACTGAAGATGGATCCACTGCCACACGAGATGCCTCCTTGGACTCGGAGTGCAAACCTTCGTGCAAACCCCGCAGATGGCTTTGCACCTCCTCCAAGTGCCGGACCTTAGGATCGGGACTCTCAGGCGGTGCTCGCTCTGCAGAGCGTCCAAACGATGGGGCTTTGGCCAAGCCGTCTTTCAGCTCTCCAATGTCTGTTCGCTGGTCGCGAATGGCATTCAGCACTTCGAAAACTGTGTCCTGATTGACACTGCAGCGTGCCTTCTAACAGGTTTCGCTTGTTCATGCCCTGGCCCGACGGCTCTGCATACTTTGAGGTGGTGCCTGAGGCGACGGCTACTTTCACATCTCGAAGGCCTCGAAGAACTGGCGTGAAGTCAACTTGTACTTTCCTCGGCAACGACGAAGGCTACGGCGCTTTGTCCCTGTAGGCCGCAGCATGATCATCACGCCGGCAGCTATCTCCGGTGCAGGCCAAATGGCATCTCCTGAACGTGCTTGACGAGGCGGGTGATGTCCTCGGTAATCTCGGTGGTGTCGCCATGCTTCTTGATGGCTGCAAGGACTTCTGTAAAGTCGATGTGCACCTCCACAGCTGATTAATCCATGGTGGTCTTGCTCTAGGGTAAGTAAGACACAGTTGCACATTGACATGGATGTTCGCGACATAGTTTGCACTGTTCAACCCTTTGCAAGTCCTGCAACGATCGTCGCTCCTTTCTCAGAGATAACATCGGAAAGGTATATGTGATATGTGGAAGATTGAGGGAGTGTGCCCACGGAGCGCAAACAAGCACCCAGGCATTCAATTTTCAAACCTAAAATCGTAAACGCCCCTTAGTGCGACATCAGACCCTGAAATCCTTAGCCCCAGACCCCGAAACCCCCAAAATGTGAGTGTCTAAATGTCTCGTCCACAATTAACCCCACCCCCCCTTCTCTATCTGTGTACATGTATACTGCATACTGTATTATACATATCCGTCATGTACATGTACAAGCACATGCAAGTTCCTGTAATCCGCAATCTGTAATGCAGCATACCTTCCCATCCCGCCTTGTTGTCTGCAATGGCATCCAACACCGGAGAGAAGTCCACCTGCACGTCTGCAGTCTGCAAAGCGGCGACAACGGAATCCCTTCTTGGAAGAAGAGAGGACACTCTTTAAATCTTGTGGGACAAGCAACACTTGACCAGACGCAAGGAGCTTGCCTCAGCAAAAGAACAAGTGGGTTCTACTCCCAGCCTTGGCTTCCTTCTCTTCCGAGACGGTTTGCAACAGAATGGAGAACTGCTGCGAGAGCCGTGCGGTCCTTACACTGAAGTTGACGATGTCACGCCTTTCGGCAAAGTCTGCACAGAAAGATGTCATCTTTCTGCAGTCCGAGGTGCGTGTCCTTCAGACCAGCTAGACCAGTTTTGACGGACTGGTCTTGTGATTTCTCCTCCAAATTCAGACCCAGCTTTTGTCCGAGCAACACAGTGCCTCTGATCGTTAGCCCTTCCTGCAACATTTCCAAGATGCTCGCGCTGGACTCTGCCAAGGGGTTCAAGGAAGTCTTCCTTGGAAGAGTTTGGAGTTTTGGAGTCCACAGATTCTGGAGGAGAGGTCGTAAGGCCGCTCTCTGTGCAGGCCCAGGCTCAGTCCTTCAGCAACCGTCTGGCAAGTGGTCTCTGCAGCATCATCTATGCTGGACAGCACCGGGGCGAAGTCTACCTTCATCTTCCTCGAGTGAATGTGGGGCCCCGGGCATGCGAAGCACACATCCGCACAGCGCCAGCAACACACTCCGAGACTCGTTGTGCGGATGGCGTCCAGCACTTCAGAGAAGTCGATCTGCCCCTGTTTGCGATCGATCTCCTCTAAAATGGCAGCGAACTGCTTGGACATGTCCTCTTGCAGTGTCAGTTCCTTGGCCAAGGCGAAAGCTTCTCCCAGAATTTCGAGCAAAGGCGCCTTCAGCCACAGCTAATTTGCGACCTGGGCTTCGTTCACGGCTGTCAGCACTGGCGAGAGGTCCACGGCCACTTTGTTCTCGATGATGCACTCCAGCACGGGACTAAAGTCGATGGCAGGTTGCCTCAGGCAGTCTCGAGCCAGGCTACACCTGCAAAGCACCGGCAATGTGTTGTGAGTGCAGCCAGAGGTGCCGAGCCCATACGATACTTGGTATGGTTTCGAACTCTGTTGCTATCTGCGCCTTCAACTCCTCGACCGAGTTCAACATCAGTTCGGTGGAGCTGCGCAGGTCGTCATTTGCCTTCCCGACAATGGCAGGGGAGGGGAGGGAGGGAGCGAGGGAGAAAGAGACAAACAGGGAAAAGCCGAACATGCAGCCGAAAGGCAGCAACAGCCTCCAGCACAGGCTGGAAGTCCACCTCTACCTGTCGGTCTTGGACCTCTTCGTGCAGCTTTCCTGATACTCAGCAGACGCAGAAAAGCACGCCCATATGCAAGATGTGGACGACTTGGGACTGTTTCGCAGCTGGGGACATGTTTGCTGTTTCCAAAGCCACTACCGTAGGTGCAGCCCTGCGTACATGGGCATACTTCCCATGCGTGGCGTGGAAAGCATGTGGAAACCAAGCCGCGAATCTCTTCGCCCATCTCGGAGAGACGTGCCTGCATCTTGCACAGTATCTTGCACTGCGAATTATTTTCAGGTTCACGCTCGTAGCGGGGTAGCGGTCCTCCGTTCGAGCGAACGCTTCTCTGAAAGCCGCCACCGGGATGATCTCCTCCAGCGTTTTTGCACTTGAAATGCTGAGTAAACCTGCCTGGAGTGGCAACGACACCAAGTGGGGCACCTTCACTCCCTCCAATAGCTCAGAAAAGTCGATGTCCGCAACCATGTCACGAACTGTCTGGAACATGTCGTCCAGATCGGACTTGTTCAAGCTTTTCGTCTCCTTGGCGACACACTGGCACTTTTTACGCACGCGAAGGCTGTTGGTCGCGCTGGGCTGAGTCTCAAAGGCCGACGAGGTGCTGGGGGCACTTGGGGCGCGGAGGAAAGCATTCGTCGGCCGCTGGAGGTCCGGCTCGGTTTGCCCAAGGCCAGCTCGTTGGCCTACAGCACGAAGGCCCGCCACGAGATACGCCCCAGACGCACACCAGCACCCCAACAAAGGGACCCCTATCCTACGTACGCAGACCAGGCCAGGCCGGAGAGGGCCTTCAGATTCGAGATTTCCTCGCCTATCTGCGAGACGGCATCCGACAGCGCCTCGGCCGAAACGGAAAATGCAGGTCACCGAAGCTTCATGCAGCGGAAAGCGCCTGAATCGACCCGTTGGTGTTTTTGAACTCCTTGGTTGCTGGAATCTCACGCAAGGCTTCGGCACTGGCTGAGGGCTCATGCCGAAGCCAAAGAACACCTTCGCAAGATGGAAGCATCCATGCCCCCGAGGGTCTGCTTCCAGAACGTCTTTCTCGACGGGCGCGGGATATGCTTGGAGCATGTGCTTGTGCTGCTCCATCGACCGAAGCCGCCTGTGCACAAACACACCCACACCTCACACACTTGGACTATGTTGAGACACTTCATGAGCAGGGTCTGAAGACAAGTGCAGTACGCGACTGCGTTGTAGCTCCTACCCTGAAAGCCTGCAACATGCTGGCTGGAAAACTTGTAATCTTGGTGCCACAGGCTGTCTATCCTTGATGCCAAGAGGGGGCCTATTCTTTTCTGCCGCTACGAGCAGACAGGACTTCCACAGCTTCGTTGAGTGTGGCGGGATGCAGGTGCCACACTCCCCTGAACGCTTCCATGAGTTGCTGTTAGTAGCAAGGTACACGCACACGGGTCCACTCGCGCACTTCTGCTTATCCAGACTTGTCACCTACATGTCAACCCAGATCTGCTCGGTTCTATCCTTGCGGCTGGCCTAATCTCCTCAAACGCCTTGAGGTTGTCGTTTCGGACAGTCTGAACCATCTCCTTCGTCTTCGAGATCTCAGAATCCAATTCCTTCTGCCTTACGGGTCGTCGAAGGCCCCGCTTCGCCGCTTATAGGATGGCACGTGACATGCGGCCCAGGAACAGAGGCTCAAGCAAGCTTTGAGTATCTTGATTGATCTGGACCCGCAGCTGATCCAGCTTCGACGATAGATCGGTCCACATCTCCTCGGCGAGAATGCTTCTGGCACTGGCCTGGCAAGGGCAAGCGGTTGAGACCAATCATTATTTTAGAGTCGCAACAAGGCCAACCTCGTGGCGGGAGGGGCTAGTGCCCCTTCGAGGAGAACGCCCGAAAGAATCGAAGTCTGAATGCCCAGCTGGTGTCAGGAAGGTGTCAATCTTTGTCCAGTTATGTCGCTGCTCATTGGCCTTCGCGATGTCCAGTGTCCGGAAGCTCGAGGTGTTGGACGCTGGCCCAAGGGAATACGGCATCGAGCTGGTGTGCTTAGGCTCTGCTTGGCGGAGTGGGTCGCTCTCCGTGTACCGCGCATCGGAAGCATAGTTCCGGAATTGCCCGGGCCCCGACAAAACCGAGCCTGCAATTGGTGCTGGCTCATTGCTGCCATGGATGATGTTGACAGGCTCCTTGCAAACGCGACACTTGAATCAAAATTTATAACATCTTTAACGAAAGCCTGTTTAATCCATCCGGCAAGTCCTTGCGTCTGCTTGGAGAGCCACGCTTTCCCCTACGGGAGGAGTCTGGCCGCCTCGCCGATGGGATTGGAATATCTACAGCCCCCTGTCGGCCAGACTCGGGTCTCTTCGCCACGCGCAGTGGTGAGGCGGCATCGGAAGACATTTGCTAAAGCTATCTATGTACATGGGAGTGATCTTTGCACAAACGCTGCAGTAGCATTCTGCTCCATTTGTGCAATGTACCCCTTTGCACCACAGCTGGCTAACCTAGTGAACTGTAAAAACCGAACATCTGCGATAGTCTTGGTCTACCTTCCACTCGCTGGCCCTCCGCAATGCTGAACTTGGCAGATGACCGTACGGGTTCAGTCTCGCGATGAGCGTCTCTGCTGCATCTTCTGCAGCAACCTGTCAGGTTCCCATCCCGTGACGGCTCCACGATACGTTGGACGGCGCTGGCCTGCACATCTCGCTGCCGGCTCCCGAACTTGTCCAACAGCACCGGGAGGTTTCGGACCTGCTCTTGCCCTTCTTTCGGCGTGAACTCATGTGAGCACCCCCGGGCCCAGCACCAGGAAGGGCTCGGAGGCCTTGTGGACCAGAAGAGCACAGCTTGGGACAGAAGGGAGCGACATCTCAAAGCTCTGCGCTGCTGGGGGTCCGACGCGACCAACTTCTTCGTGCAAGCTGATCATGCCTGAAAAAATCAAAGCAGCTATGAAGGGTCGCCGGAGATGATTCGGGCCTCTCAAGGCGGCCAGGGCCGTGGAGGGCTCTCGCAGCAAGACCTTCAGCGTTCTGTCGTGAAAATGCGCTCGGTGGATTGTTCAAGGCAAAGTCCCTGCACCCTCCTTGTCCAGACAGGATATGTCAGGATTTTGTCAATGGCATGTGTTCGAAGTAACATGAACAAAGCCTGGTCTGGAACAACTCCAGCAGACTTATAGTGTGAGTCGCGATGCGAGGGAGAGCTCACGACGACGCCGAGCAACTGCAGGGGTTTAGCTGCCGCGAGCTTCTGAGACACATGCTCGCAGTGCAGCACTGACAGCTGCGCAGGCCTTTAGCGGGCACCAGGGAACAGCCAAGCGCCACTGCAGCTGAGTGGTCTCTAAATCCCAAACCCTGACACCGCAAACCTAAAACCCAAAAAGTTCAGGCCCGTCATTTCCAAAAACGTCCAAATGGTCTCCTTCGAAAAACCAACGTCCCCGCCTGGACCGGCCGGTCTGCAGCGGCAACCACCTTCCCACACTCTTCGGCCTGCAACGCGTCCCACGTTGCGCAGACTCTGACTGTAGAACGTGCATCTATAGACTTTGTAGACACTTGTGTTGGCAAGATTGCTCTTCAATAACATGAGGCCACTGCCGCACCGGGCTCGCCCGAAGCCAACTGCCGCCTGGCATGCGGTGGTGGCTCTTCAAGTCTTCGGCGCCAAAGCCAAATCGGCGCTTAAAACATGTGGAGGAGTACAGAAGGCTCTTGATAGGCGGACCTCATGTCAAGCCCCGCCACACTTTGACCATGTTGGAGATTGATGACACGGGCCAGGAGCCCCTCTGACTTTAGGCCCCGACTGTGAAGGGCTGCGCGGCTCGCATCCTCCTTTATGTCAGAGTCCGGCAACGGTCCTCTCAGTCTTGCACGAGACCGTGCTGCGCATCATTACGCATCTTCTCGCAAACACAAAAGCTTCTGAGTGTCCTTGAGTCTCAGTCTCCACAGGATCGGCAGGGCGGGACTCCTTCAGCTCGGAAAGCAGGTTCGACACACCGGCAACCAATCAAAAATCGTGTCCTCCTCCTCTGCACTGGAACGAGAGGTCTCGCCTCACAGGCCCATCGCTCGGAGAAAGCTGTGCCGGCACCATTGCAGCCGGGAGTCTCTGCGCGTTCTCTTGCACCTGCGAGCACCAAAGAAGCGGGCAGTAGGCCTTCGGGCTCCGTACGGCTCTCGTCTTCCCACAATGACGCGGCCTTCAGGATGTCAGGCAGCAGTTCCGCCACCAGCTCGTCCTAGCACAGTTGAATGAGTTCGCCTTTTCGGTAGCCCGGCCGGGCCGCACGCATGCGGAGTGTGTCCGTGACTGATCATCCTCTGGAAGATCTGATTCTTAACAGTGTTAGCCGGATCCAAACCGAAAGTTTCGTGTCTGCAGATACGCATCTACGGAGATCCCTCGTGCTACTATCGTGCCGAAACGTAAAGCTCAGAAAAGCGGCTCCACCCTCCGATCCCGAGGAACAAGCGCAAAGAGAGCGCGGAACAAGGAAACTAACCAAAAACAGAGAGAGCGAGAGCGAGAGAGAGAGCGAGAGCGAGAGCGAGATCGAGAGCGGGAGAGAGAGAGAGAGAGAGCGAGAGAGAGACGGACAGACAGACAACCGTCCTGATCGCCGCCTGCCGGACCACAATCGCTCGTGACGCGGCTTCAAGTCCCGAGAAAACAAGCAAGGGCCCAGCTGGCCTGAGTCTGGCTCACCTGCCGGAGAGCAAGGAGTGAAGGCTTGCCCAGCCAAGCAATTCGGATAACTTAGGGATCTGACTACTGGGGAGCTGCCGTCTGAACCGATTTGGTCGAGGTGCGGCCGGCCTTTCAGCACAGGTGCGGAAAAGATCAGCAGCGGGGCAGCGACCCAAGGGTCATGTAAGGTGCCGGCCCACCTCTCATCTCAGAGCGTGTGAGCCTGACGAAGGTCACCCCCGGCCGCTTCTACATCGACACGGTTCGTGCTTTGGCTTGAACAGCATGCGAGCACACTGCCGTCCTGGGTACCTCGTCTGGTTCTGGGAAGACTTCCCTGCATACGAGAATTCAGCCAGAGAGTTTGAGCAGACCTGCGGCAGGCCTGGTAGTGTGCATGCTGGGCGGGATCACCTCCATATGCCAGGATGCGCCGAGCTGTGCCACTGGACTGGGTGATTTGTCTATCTGACGGTGAGAGGGATGATCTGTGAACACTCTCCAGCCTTGGGTGGTAATCTCTTATCTTTGCCTGCGACCCGACAGATTTCGCAACAAGACGCTCAGCAGGTGGGCAAACGGCCAAGATTCCGCTGCTGCGTTCTCCCTAAACTAACGTTCTGGTCTGCTGGAGGCCTGAAATCTCTTCGACATCTGTTTCACAGTAGCCATCAGAGCAGTACTCCTCCTGTCAAACCAGCAAGACTGCTGTAGCCGACTCTGCAAGAGATGATACTTTAGCATCTCCTCCCAACCGGCATCATCCACGAACTTCAAGACAACGTGCTCTTCCTTGCTTATGGAGACTTGTACCCGTGGTGCGAATCGAGCCTGCGACGACTTGCTGGCCTTCACATCAATCTCGTCAACAACAAGGGACACTAACAAATCGCCTGGAAAGGCTGGGAAATCCTGGCGCAGTTGCCGCGCTATGCTGTAGAAGTCGCCAGAGCCCCGATCTGTCGCTCTCAAACTGTGCCGGTCAGTCAATGTGGGCATTCGGCAGCAAAGCCTGGAAAAAGCAAAGGTCTTATCTGTCGCGATGACTCGGGACGTGTCGCGACCTCGACCACGCAGCCGAAGTCCACCCGTACACCCTCCTGGCATACGGAACGAAAAGAACGACCCGCACAGGGTCCGCCAACCCGTGGAGGTTGGGAATCGCGGCCTCCACAAAGCAGGTCACCTGAGAGCAAAAGAGGTTCAGCGGCTGCTTGTGGACAAAAATCTCTTCACTCGGCCCGTGACTTTGCCCTGCACTACTTCGTTCTGGCGAACGCTTGCCAGAGAGCGCCTAAGCTGAGCGCGAAGGTCTCAGCGTCGCCGACTGACTGGCAAACTTCGGGGATGCAGCCACTTGGATCTCCGTGACGTCAGGGAGCCTTCCCGATCAGCGAGATGAAGCACAGAGAGATTTGATACAGCCACTCTGCTGAGCATCCCGGATTGGGTGCCCTGCCTTTCGAGCTATGCACATCGGCCTGTCCGAATGCCAACAGGAAACAGCCTGAAAGCAATAATCGAGCCTCATGGCTGCTGGCCTGGTCTTGGTTCTGTTCGAACCCAGTCCACATGCCTCGACGTCCACACATTAAGCCAGGGGGCTGCGTTGGCAAGAAGGCAGTCAATGCACGTAAAGATCCTACTGCCAAGCGTGTCTTGCGAGCTTTACTCTGCCATCGTTCCGCCCAAGTTTAAGTCGCAGGCCTTTCTGGAAGCCCTTCTTCGGCTTTTCGCCTTTGCCTGGCAGGAGCTGAGGCTGAAGCTGCGACGGTTCAAGGCCGCCCCACCTGCTTCCGGGCCACCCGCTCCTGCGCCAAGCACACCAGCATTCCACAATCTCCACGAGTTTTCTGATGGGATCTTCTGTCACACGGCCCTGTCCTTTCGCGCTGAAGAAGCTGGTTACCTGCAACAAAGGCCCTACGAAGTTGCACAGAAAGTCTAGGAGTCGGGGCGTGGCGGAGACAGGGGGTTTACCCGTTGCGCTACAAGCCCCATACAAAAGATAGCATGTAAGTACATGCAGCGCACGGTGAAATAGCAGTACTTGTACAGTAGCAGATACAACAAGCTATTATAGCACTGAAGAGGCGGTGCAGAACACACAATGAAGAAAAGGATAACATCCCATCATACCCGTATCATCTAGCTACAGCTCAACAGTCCTGCTGCAATAGAAAGGAAGAGAAGGGCGGGGTCGGCCTTCGTCTCCTGATTGCCCGTCCAGAGACCTTCGGAGCGGGGTGAGGGAAGGCGTACGGCTGACAGTGGTGGAGTGAAAAATGATAAGAATTCAGGGGCCGGGGTTCCGGCCCTTGCCCGTCTTTCCGCCCTTTCCTGGCATCGCAGGTAGAAAATGCAGTGTTGCTCTGGTCGCTTGCCGTCAGCTCACAATTCGTTTTCCAGCCTCCGGATTTTGCCAAGGTGACTTCGACCGGCGTCCGCCTGAGCAATTCCGTCTCAGCAAGCGAATACAAGACTTCTTAGAGAATTGCACAGCATTCGCTCCGAGACCCCTGCAGCCTGACGGCATTTCGGTCGTAGCCTTTCGAAACGTGTCTTGCTCTTGCCTAGCAGCTTTGGCCGACCGCGGGCCTTCATCTTCCGACCTCGGGGGAGTCGGCTGCCGCCGCGGCCTGGCTGCATTGGCTGCTGCTTCTTTTCACTGAACCTTCCTTTTTGTGAGATGCTGCTCACTTGAAGGATCGAAGCCTGGCCTGGCGGGCTTAGCGTAGCCTGGGCAAGAGCTCTGCTTGACTCGTCAGAGGCACGACTGCCCGGGCCTTCGTCCTCCAACTTCGGAGCGGAGGTACGTCGCTGCGGCCTGACACGGTCCCCTGGGCACCGAGCCCGAGTCCAACCAAAGTACACTCATATGCCAAAACTCCCGAAGCCTGGTGGCCTTCCTGTCACCTTGGCCAGAGATGCTGCGCGGGCTGTCTCAGAGCGATCTGAAAGGCCTGGAGTCGAGGGCGTTCGCGGCCTGAAGCCGGTGATGTGCCAAGCTATGGAGTGCGCCACTATGCTGAAACTACTGGTAGCAAAGCTACCCACAAATTCGGGTGCACGCATCTTCCACACCGCTTTTCATCCGGTTTCACGCCGGGTTCAGAGTTTCATATGCCCCCATAAGAAAGAGGTAACAACATTGCCGCAAGAGGATAGGAAGAAATCATCGGGACAGAACTACAAGATGTTACAATTACAAGTAAAAGCAGGGCAGCCCACGCCGTGCCCATGCCGGATGCGGCAGCTACCTCCTGCAAGGCTATAGATTCGGCTAGGGCTAGATCAACTGCCAGAGGCATTGAACGTCCCGAGGCAAAGAGGATGCTATGCCCAAGCATGGCATCGATGCAGAGGGCGGAAACAGAAGGGCACCCAAGAACGAAGAGGGGGCAGGAGAGCTGCAAAAGAATTCATAAGTTACATCTCCGTAAGCACGGGCATGCATCATCCGTGTATCCGGCTTGCTCCAAGACCCGTGCGGCCGGACGGGCTTGCTATCGGAAACGCCGTAGCCTTGGAAGAAAGCATGTGTCTGGTTCGTCGGATGGACCTTGCCACGCCTTCGTCCAACTTCGGGGGAGTCGAGGGCTGCCGTCGTTGCGGCCGCGGCCTCGGGCGGGACCGGAACCCCCCATCTCTCCTTCGTTTCTTCCGGAAGCGGCTTGGGGCCTCCTTGGAGCTTGCTCTTCGGCCTTCTCGGCCGTCGGTTTTGGATCCGCATCTCGGCCGGCTCGAAACCAGCTCGCCTTTGAAGCAGCGCTTGCAGTGAAATGTTGTTTCTTCTCGGATGCTGCGAGGTCACGCCGCACTCGCTGAAGCTAAGAGGTGTGCGAGGCCTGGCATCGCTCTTCAGATCCTGGCAGCTGGTATTGTCTGATCCGAATAAGCAGGGGTCGGTCGGCGTTGAACCTCGGAGACCATCGCAGCTGCGATGAGCCAATTCTGTAGTGGAGTACAGATATGGGCCTTGGAGTGGGCTGGTGATATAGGTGCTCGCTCCGTCTCATGTCGAGTCGGCTTCGTGTCAGCTACATCAGCTGCAGAGTTTGTTCAGTCAAATCTCAGCTGGTGAGCCGTTGGCTCAGACTTCTAGAAGCACTGGCTCTTCCATGAAGGCAAATTCGTGACTAGCTTGCCTCGCTTCTGGCATCAACAAGTGCGCCGCATGAAGCATCGAGTCACCTTTTTCCTTGAGAAACCCTCAGGCTGCAACTCTCGCACAGCGTACACATGGTACGCAGTGCTGGCTTTTCGGCTGAAGCAGCCGCTGCGCATTTACGGACAGCGTTCTCGCTGCGGATGCTGTACAAAGGTATGTCAAGGTCCGCTGCATGATGGATTTGCAGAGAGCATGGCAAGAAGTCTGTTCCTGGTAAGCTTCGCGGGAACAAGCGTCATGGCAGACCATCAACGCACCGCAATCTTCTCTCGACGAGCCGCTGATCAGCTTCCAGCTAAGCTTCAGCTGGTGCGAGCTCACTTCCCTGGTGCAGACTTGGGAGTCACATAAGCACAGGTCGATGTGGGCTCGGTGCCCAACCTCCCAGTGAAGCACCGGCTGCTCCAAATGCCGGTCCTTGCCAGGCAAGATTCTCTTGTTCTTCTGTTGGCTTGATAAGCACAGCAGATGCCCGTAATACTGTAACAGTGTGCTGACAAGCATAGATTGACCGTCGGCCACTCCTTCAATGCCGTTGCATCGAAGAAGTCCTGTACCTTGAATGCATGATCAAGAGCGGTGGGGCCGCAGGTACCCGTGAACAGAAGCCTCGGCGCTGAGATGCCAACAAACCGCGCATTGGAAAGACGCCGCAGTTGCTTTCGCCAAGGCCTCGGCCGGCAAACCGCCCGCATCTGCCCGCTGCCCCCGCCTCCCACGTTGCTCTTCTCTGAGAGCCGAGCGCATCACGAACAGGTACGAAAAGATGAACCTGTGACGGCCATCGGGAGAAAGCGTCAGCTGCAATCTGCGCGAGAGCGGCTGCCTTCTTGAAGCCCGCGACAATTCGGTCCAGCTGCTTGCCCACAACATCGTCCAAGTACCTGTTGCTGGTAAACTGAGGCCAGGCTGACATTATGCTACCAGCACGCAGGTGGCAGGGCACGCATCCGAAAATGGCGGATTGACCGACAGCACCTGGGTATCGCAGCAAGCAAATCACCACCCCTGCTTTTTCTGAGGATTCGTTCGGCCGCTCGGACAGCCCCTCAAGAAGCCCGCATCCTCAAGCTTGGTTTTCAGGCACCTTCTTATCTGCGCCAAATGCCAAAGAGTTGACGACGGCAGCTAATTTCTTAAAGTGCCGAGCAAGAGTGAAGCCCGTGGCAATCATGCTGTCGAGGACGGCAATCCAACGAACGCTGGCTCAGAACAGTGAATCTCACATGTCAATGTGGACACCCGAGCGATCTTCTCAGACACTACTTGCCGGTTTGCAGCATCTTCAAGCATTCTGGGGTCGCGTAAGCCTTTATGAGGACTGTGCAATCTGGGTCGACCCGAAGGGCATGCAGCCGAACAGAGTGTGACATGAATTGCATAAATCCAGCCACCTGTGGTTGTCTTGTAGATTGGCCTGTAAGAAACGCTTAAAGGTCACGCCTCAAACACATTCAGGCTCCGCATGCCCGTGTCAATTTGATGAGGTCTCGACGGCTGTGGATGGCCACTCGTCAAGTACATCCGGATACCTGCAGCACTACGAATGCCAAGTCTCAGCTCGGTTGCTCGTTTGTGCGGTTTGCGCACGAGCCCGCCGAGCCAAAGATCTTCTCGGCATGAGGGAAGCGGGAAGCATACCTTGAATGTGGTATGTGGGACGTAATACGTCGGGTGCTCTGAGTGCTGGCCAAGCCCGGGGCTTGCCGTTGCTGACTCGAGCATTGAAGGGCGACGCGAAGAGCTCGTACCTACATCCGACTCCGACTCGCCGAAAAAGGAAACCAGGAGAGAACCGGAGACAGCGCAGAGAACTTACAGAAACAACTCGGAGCCCGGAACCGACAATCTGACACCAAGCTTGGCAGGTACTCCACGTCGGCTGCTTCTTTCGAGGACGCCCGCCAGGTACCTTTGAAAAAAGCCAGCCCGGATTCAGAACATCGGAACGGACCTTACGGTATCTGTTGGACATTTCGTGCATCCACCACACATGCTAGGGCCCGTGCAAAGCTGGTGTGAACTTCTTTGGCCGGCAGTCAACACTGGGTTCCTTAGCAGGAGTCAAGGCAACACTTCCCACACCGACACTGTCCGAAGCCAGTCACCAGACGGTACACATCCTAGAAAGCTCACACAAGGGCCAACTACGGTGATGGTGCCAAGTGCACGGCTATTGCTAAGCGGCTAAGCGAGGAGCAGTGGAAAAACAACCCAGGAATTGACTGGAGCCGGAGCAGTGTAACTGTGTTGCCTGTTTGCTGTGCGCATCGAAGATGGGCCTTCTGGCTCAACCTTTCTGAGCCCGAAGCTCCAGTGCTCGGTAGAGCGCGAAGACACGTGCCATGGCCTGTAAGTTCAGGAAGAGCCACCATGAGCGAAACAGCACTGAAATGCATCCTTCCGCGCATCTCGAGGCCGAAACAGAGGCACGAGAAGCGACATTGTCCTGCGCACTTGGTATTAGAACAAAGTAATTGAGTCGTGCGTCGGCACCAGTTACCCTAAACATGCATTGCATGTCGGGGTCCGCCGACAGAGTGTAGCGTCGCAGCAACGCCTGGGTCAGATGACAGCAGATGCATGGGACACCATGCAGGTTGGCCAGTTGGCTTTCTGCAGAACCAAGCCAAACAACTCAGCGCTTGCCAGCCCTCGCTGTTTGCTCTTTTTCGGAAAGAAACTTATGGCCACTGTCTCGGAGGGAAACAAATTCAATCGACATCACGAACGTTTCGACCCGAACCGACCACGAAACCTAAGTACATGCAGGTAACGAATCATTCATTCCTATCATTCGCTCTTGTCTGAACCCTTACACTGTTTCCAAAGCAAGAAGTGTGGGGCCTGGATGTCCGTCTGCAGCACCGGGAAGCGGTGGCGGCCCACGAAGAGCTGGTGACAGGGCCATTCTACAGCAAAAGAGATTTTTGGAGGAATCGGGCAGGGATGCATCCACTTCTTCCAGAGAAGTGAGCAAACCTAGATCCATATTTGGCTTAGCCGGCTTACCTTCACCCAGAAGCAATGCACACCACGCGTGTTGGACCGTCCATAGGTCAGTACAATAGCTCTGCCTCGCTCCAGTTCCCGGCAGGAAACTCCGCCACGTAGCTGCCGGGAACGAAACTGGCCAGGATGCAAGCAGTCCAACAGCTCAACCGATACGGGCTGCGAAGGCAGTCGTTTATTTGGCACACAGGGACTGGCAGGGATCTGTCCACATGTGCGGCACCTCAACGTACATGTCAGGCTCTTTGTTCATGCATTCTGTAGCATAACGCGGCAATGAAATCATCTATTTTTCAGTGCAACATATATCAGCCACCAGTCAAAAACTGCCTGCTGTTCTGGAACGCTGCAAGTCCTCGGAGAAAAGAGCGGACAGCTCGCAGACCGATTTCTTGTAGTGAGCAGCATGACCGGCTGCTAGTGAATGTGCAATGCTAACCATACACAACATACACACATGTACAACCACACATGTTTGCTTGCATTTTCTTACTCACATACTGTAAATAGAGAGGTAGAGAGCAGTGAGGCGATTCCTACCATCCCAGTACCTCGTCCCAGTGTCGCATTTCTCGACCACGAACCCAGAACTGTACGTCGGCTTGAGCACTTGCTAAGAGTCCAAGAGACTTGAGTGAGCCCAATCCGGTGAGACACTGCTCTTGGCTCTGTACGGTGCAGGACGTTGCGGCGAGGTGCATCCGGCAGCCTGTGGCACAGCAGAAGGTCAGCACGGAAGCCGCGGGCCCAGTGCATTGTCTGTCCAGCCTCTGCCAGAGGGCCGAATCAAGTGAGGGGACCATGGGGTCCTCCCACGAGGGATCATACATCATGTCGCTCGAGGTTCAAAGAGTTCTTCGTGTCACACCTGTTACTTTCACGGGTGACAATTTCGGTCACTGTTGCTGACCGCATCAACAAGGGCAAGGTCAAAAAGACTACTCAGAGTCTGGTGCAGGGTGGCCACGTTGCAAGCACAAGACTGACCCTGGCGTCTCGTGGTTCGATAACCTTTTTGAACGGGTGACTGCTCAGCTTAGTCCTGCCCGGGCGAGCAACCAAGTGCAACATCAGTTCTTGATTTCAAACATATGCACTTGGGAGTTGTTTGCCATTAAGGTCACTTCAACCTCGTTTTCGTCACAATCGTCCTTGTCAATGTAACGACTCCCATTTCCTGCTCGCTCTGTATTCGACCAGAGCCTGTACTCTAAAGCAGAGCAAACCTGCGTTGGCCGAATTCGGCTCTTCAACGAGCTTGCACAGACGGCTTCACATGCTGCGCACCACCACTAGCTGTCTCACACGTTATCGCTCGACGTACTGCATGCATGCAGTTAAATCTGAAAGTCTGTGTGAACATGCACTCCACATGCAGGTGGGCGTCCTGTGTGTGTGTGTGTGTGTTGTGTGTGTGTGTGTTGTGTTGTGTGTGTGTGTGTGTCTGTGTGTGTGTGTCTGTGTGTCTGTGTGTGTGTGTGTGTGTCTCTGTGTGTGTGTGTGTGTGTCTGTGTGTCTCTGTGTGTCTCTGCGTGCGTCTGTGTGTATGTGTGTGTGCGTCTCTGTGTGTGTGTGTGTGCGTCTGTGTGTGTGTGTGTGCGTCTGTGTGTGTGTGTGTGTGCGTCTGTGTGTCTGTGTGTGT